TTTTAAAATTCTGAACTGGAGCTTAAATTCTTCTAAAAGAAAAGTACAGTGGGTTTCAGAAGAAATTTTAGCCAATTCAGGATGACAGAACTGGGCTTTTCATAACCAACCTGTGCTATACTAGCCCTGTTTAATTTAATTTAATTTATTTATTTATTTTAAAGATTTTATTTATTTGACAGAGAGAGACACAGCAAGAGAGGGAACACAAGCAGGGGGAGTGGGAGAGGGAGAAGCAGGCTTCCCGTGAAGCAGGGAGCCCGACGCGGGGCTCGATCCCAGGACCCTGAGATCATGACCTGAGCCAAAGGCAGATGCCTAATGACTGAGCCACCCAGGCGCCCCTAGCCCTGTTTAATTTTAGATAGTAAACACAGTCTAGAACCTTCCCCTCAGCTGCAGAGACTGGGCTAGCACAGCACAAAGGTATTGGAAGTGAAATTTTTGGACCCATGGTTTAAAGCTAGCTTTCAGTGAACCAGAAATTGAAACCCCTTGCAACCATAACCTAATCAACCTGCACTCTTAGGCAAGCTTCAGAATAATCAGACCTGTCGTTGCTGCACAAACGTCTGCTGTGAAATGTCAGTCTTTCTATCACCAACAGGAAAGTCTACTTCCATGGTGTTTACAAGTCCAGCTTTGGAAAATCTGGTCCTAATCCCAGACTAACTTCCTCTGTGATAATTGCTAACATAACAGTACAACACAGTGACCTTATTAATAGAACCCCTATTTCAGAAATCCATCAGCTACCCAGCTGCCTCCCTTAGAGGGGCTTCTATTTATGCAGATGCCAGAGGCTGTGCTTCTGGGGACCCAAATCAGTCCACGTGGCTTCCCTCCCCAGATGAAGTGATAAATTAGACTTTGGGCCCAAACTCCTCATTCTTCAATCTGCACTGTGCCTAGAAAGTATTAAAATAATTTTATTCTGGTGAAACCACGGTAGGGAAACTGGGTGAAGAACTTGTGATGGAGAGAGATAAGGAAAGCAAAACAAGTCAGCCAGAGGGATCTCTGCATCCCTATCTTAGAAGCAAGGGTTTGCAGTAAACATGAAAGGGGAATGAATTGTGAGAGAGGAGCTATCCTTGAGAATGTGCTTCCCTTAGCATACTGGGTAAACTCTTTTTTTTTTTCAGAGCATTAACTGGAAGGAAAGCTGGAGGGAAATTTTCTTGTCTATTCTTCTCATGAAACTGTAAGTTTCTTGACATAAGAACTGTTACATTTCTTTTTTCTTTTTTTTTTAAGATTTTTTTTATTTATTTGAGACAGAGAGAATGAGAGAGAGAGAGCACATGAGAGGGGGGAGGGTCAGAGGCAGAAGCAGGCTCCCTGCCGAGCAGGGAGCCCGATGCGGGACTCGATCCCGGGAGTCCAGGATCATGACCTGAGCTGAAGGCAGTCACTTAACCAACTGAGCCACCCAGGCGCCCAGAACTGTTACATTTCTTTAATCACTAACACAACTCCTGGTCAAGTTCAGCATCTTGAACTTCTGTTCACTTTCTGGACTCTAAGGAAGTTTTCAAATTTAATATCATTTGTGTATAAAATTGCCAGTTCCTGTATAACCTCATTAGAACAGATGTACAGCTCATTAGTGAGTTAGTTGTTGGTACCAGAAAGTACACATTTCTAGCTTTGTCATCAGAGGATAATAAAAATGCATCTCCTCATTCCAGGAAATGCTCTTCCAGGCTCAAATACGTTCCCATGGGTTGTGACCTAAGTCTGAAAAAGCTGATAGAAAGAGCAGGACAAGACTCACTGTGATGGCTAAAATTTTTTTAAGATTTTATTTATTTATTTAAGAGAGAAAGCTAGAGTGCGCATGAGAGAGCACATGAGCGATAAGCGGGGGCCAGGGGGTGGGGGCGGGCAGTGGGCAGAAGGAGAGGGAGGAGCAGACTCCCTGCTGAGCAGGGAGCCCAGTGCAACTGGGGGCTGGATCCCAGGACCCTGAGATCATGACCTGAGCTGAAAGCAGACGCTTAACTGACTGAGCCACCCAGGCGCCCCTGTGAGAGTTAATTTTATGTGTCAACTTGAAGGGCATTTGGGGAATGAGATTAACCTTGGATTCAGTGGACTTTGAATAAAATAGATTGCTATTCTTCCATAATATAAGTGGGCCTCATCCAATCACTTGAAGGCCTTCAAATAACAAGGGCTGACCTCCTCAAAGCAAGAAGAAATTCTGCAGCAGAAGGCTTTCAGACTTTAACTGTAGCATCAATTCTTTCCTGATCTGCCAGTCTACCCTGCAGATTTTGGACTTGCCAGACTCCATAATAGCATGAACCAATTCCTTAAAATAAATCTACACACACACACACATATCCTATTGATTCTGGTTCTCTGGAGAGCCCTGATACACTGAACAACAGGCATATTATACAGTCTATCAGTCTATCATCCAATCACCTCGTAGCCCATTTCCCCCTAGACTATTATACAGGAAGATTCACCATGCTGTTCATTTGCACAATGCTCTCACTTCTTTATGGATTAGAGAGTAAGATTAAACAGAGAGTGTCCTCATGGAAATGCCGTTTAAACCAAGTAGGGGACTAGGTGTCAGAAGACCTTGGTTCCAATTATAGTTCTGTCTCATGCTGTCTGTGATATTTACCTACCTGTGCCTCAGCTTTCTCTCTATACAGGAAGGGGTGTTCTTAACCTGGAGCCCATGGCTGGGCTTCAGGACATTTGTGAGCCTCCTACAATTTCATGCAAACACATATATGCTTATTTTTATGACAAGATGTTCCGTAGCTTTCAAAATTTCAACCAGGTCAGTGAACTGCAAAAAAAGTCACGGTCCTCTAGACTTGTAATGGTCATAGCTCATTCCAGTTCTGAGTTACCCTAATACTCTTCTATCAGCTGCAGATGGTTTGTGGCTTTCCCTGAAAAATGATTTCTATTTAGTGCTTTGTGAGGTCATAAAGACCCTGAGCATTTACAAAAGGAAAGGATTTTCTTTGTTTTTCTAACCTATGAGTATGGAGAAAGGGGGGAAAGTGAGGTAGACATTTATTTGAAAGAGATCCATTGTTCCAAATTTCCAAAACAAGTTGCAGGAGTGCTAAAAGTTGTAGTTTCTGAGAAAGGGAAACTAGAGGTCTGAGGAAAGATAAGATACTTGCTGTTGTATGCCCATTTTCCATTGTTTACACTTTTGACTATGTACATTTATTGCTTTTACTCTGTAGATATTCTTTTTAAGATTTTATTTATTTATTTTACAGAGAGAAAGACAGCAAGAGAGGGAACACAAGCAGGGGGAGTGGGAGAGGGAGAAGCAGGCTTCCCGCCGAGCAGGGAGTCCGGCACGGGGCTCGATCCCAGGACCCCGGGATCATGACCTGAGCCGAAGGCAGACGCTTAACGACTGAGCCACCCAGGCGCTCCTACTCTGTAGATATTCTTTACATATCTTACTTACTCTCAAAAATGAGTCAACTAAAAACAATAGAAAAATTTGAAAGATTTATATATTAATAAAGAAGAACAGTCATAATATATCAAGTAAAAAAGAGCTAAAGACTAATAGTATGTGGTGTATGATCACATTGTGTTTTGTTTAAAGATTTTATTTATTTGAGAGAGAGAGTGAGTGAAAGAGCACGAGCCTGCGGGGGGGCGGGGGCAGATGGAGAGGGAGAAGCCGACACCCTGCCGAGCGGGGAGCCCCACATAGGGCTCCATCCTAGGGACCCTGGGATCATGATCTGAGCCAAAGGCAGACGCTTAACCGACTGAGCCCCATGATCACATTTTGAATAAAACATTACACATGTGCACAAATCTATTTGTGTGCACTGTGCCTTTGGTACCTCTTACTGTGAAACTGGGGAGAAGAGTAATTTGACTTTAGACCCTTTTATGTTTTTTGAGTTGTTCTAACATATACATCTTACTTTTATATTCAAATAACTAAAAATGTAAAAAGTAAATGTCTCTCAGTTTTATAAATATATATATGTCTATTTTAATTTAAATAGAATTATGTTTTATATATACACATTTGTATTGAATATCATATGGAAATATGAACTCTGTGTCAACTTATGTGGTGGGTAAAAAAAATATGAAGATTTGGAGAAATTGTAGGCACAAATTTACAAAGCTCTCTGATAAGAAAAGTAGGACAGCTGAAAGAAAGAACAGGTTGGAGATGTATTTCTTAGACTTTCTCCCCTGGGGTCTATGCCTCAAAAGGAAAAGTCTAGGTCTTGGAATTTTGGGGGGCATAACCCAGAGAGACTGCCAAGTTGAGAATGACCACTCTTGGGGTGGGGGAAAAACTGTCTTCCATGGACACCTCCTTATGAAGTTGAGATACATCTAGGAAGATGCTTGTTTGTCTGTGATAGCTGGGAGATAGTGAGAGCATGAGAGAGACTTCCAGCTTGAGAGGAGAGGAAGGTTGCTGGAGGGGTGACAGGCAGGGTGAAACAGGAAGCTGGGATGGAGAGGACGGTGAAGAGCTATCTCTGTGGCAACCAGAACTGAGGTGAGCAGTAAGTCCAGGCACGTCATTACTCATGAGGGTAGTTATAGCCTGATATTTCCACACACTGTAGTACAGCAGCACTCTGACCATCTGGCCCAGGACACATCAGAGAGGAGTCACTCAGGGGCAGGGCAATGTTCCCAGAAGCATTGTCTTTGAAGAATAAATCCTTAATGGACAGGGTGACAGCCACGGCAGGAAGTCACTCAAATAGCAGCAAAAGGGATCAAAGAATGTGCCTTCAGGGGACCTCCTTGAATCCCCAGTGTTCCCAGCATTGATTTTTCTAATAATTGACATTCTTGCACACATCAGTGCTCAAGGATATTACCCAGTCACTTCAGTTTCCATTTTATACTACAAATTATGCACCTTTGGATCACTCACTGGAGTTTCCAGAAGATCCAAATTAGAACATTTATGTCTAACATTCTTCCCCATACCCGACATTCAAAGTAAGGCAAATACATACCAAAAAGTTTCAGCTTTAGATGGTGTCTCATTTCTAACACTGGTCCACAGCATCCAGTCATATTAAGTCATTTGGTCTTGTTTTCTCACCTGTGAATGGAAAGTAAGGTTTATTGACATTATTCCTCAGGTTTGGGGAAGTCATAATTATTACAAAGCATTCAAAGAGAAATGGGAAGACACTCCCATTCCATCCCAACGATTTCCAGGCATAATGACAAGGATAATGGCTATCTCCATTAATCTCCTTGTGCAGTAATTTATGAGAAGTATGATTTATAAAGGGCTACAGGAGTGTGAATACCAGAGGTGTGTGTTGCCAGTGCTATCTAGGTATCATCAACTGAAGAATTTGGAACTGAAATATTTTAGAAAGAAGGGGCGCCTGGGTGGCTCAGTCATTAGGTGTCTGCCTTTGGCTCAGGTTGTGATCCCAGGGTCCTGGGATCAAGCCCCACATCAGGCTCCCTGCTCGGCGGAGAACCTGCTTCTCCCTCTCCCACTCCCCCTGCTTGTGTTCCCTCTCTCGCTGTCTCTCTCTCTGTCAGATAAATAAATAAAATCTTTAAAAAAAGAAAGAAAGAAAGAAATATTTTAGAAAGAAGAGACTAGACTTGTCCATCTACTACTGAGAGTATCAGGAACACCACCTGCTTTCTATCCTCATTCAACTTTCTCAGAGAACCTTCTTCATTAGAAACAACGCATTTCCTAGTATAAGAAATCTGCCCTAACATTTCATTCTATTTTCCCCAAATGGGAGTCATCTCTGAGCCTCACCTCTTTCCCCACAGCTCTTAGAAGCCCCTCACCATAGATGTGGAGCAAAGGCCAAGGCTGAACTGACCCCCCCACCCCTGCCACGTAGGTCTGGCTCGTGCCAGGGCAATGGGAACCATCTGTAATAATGATCAGGGACAGAAACCAAGTCTGATGACAAGGAAACAAATCAACCAACCAGCGATTATTTCCCCAAATGAATTCCTGCATTTAGTTTTCCATTCCCAGAGGCTTTACTGGCCACAGAACAGAGAGGCTGATGTTTTTTCATTTCTCTCCTATGAGGGAATTTAGCAATCAGGACCAGAGCTGTGGTCTGGTGGAACAGAGTAGGTGGTGAAAGAGCATTCTTAGCAGAATGAGGATTATCTTTGATCTGCTCCCGTGGCCCACCCCCAAGATGACCCCACTTTTTGTAAACAAGGGTCATAGTCCCATCACAGTGTCAGCTTTGGGGACTGTCAGATCTCTTGTGGTAACAGTGGGATTTCGTTTCTCTAAAACTTGGAGGGAGTGAGTCTTCTGAGAGTCTGAAGATCTCATTAGAACTCAGTAGATCTAAAACGACTTTGATCGAGAATGTAACTTATCTGAGCTTGGCTCCCAAACATGTTTAGAAGCCTATATTCAGAAATACTTTCTTTTACAAGTATTTTTAACAAGCTTTTTTGCTTGTTTTCCAGGCACATTCAGTTTTCAACCTCTAAATCTTCTGAGTTTCTAAAAAGAAGATGTATCCCCCCAAGCACACACTGGAGAGAGAAAGAGCTCAGAGTTTCCTAGAGCTAGTAGGTGGCGTCACTAAGAGATGAGCTACTGAGGCAGGAGCCAGAGACCATGGGTGGCTGGGAAGAAGACAGGGTGGAACCAGCCATCCATTGCCCCAGGGTCAGATTCGAACAGGAACTGCTCCCCTTTCTCTGCTTGCAATTTTTTTCAAGGGTCACTTACATTATAAACCTGATCATTTATCAAAGAAAATAACATTTGTTATGGGAGGAAAAGCCTACAGTCTTATGGCAATGCCATAACAAAGGAGACCAAAAAATGAATGCACTGGAAAAGCCCTTTGAGTCCAGCATCTTAATTTTTGCAGACAGAATTCTGAGGTGCAGAGAGGGAAGGTGCCTTGCCCAAGGACTCAGAAGTGGAAAGCAAGATTAGATCATAGGTTGTCATTTTCTCTTCTGGCTCCATGCCCTGTCCCTTCTCAGAGCCCACTCTAGTGACCCCTAGTGGGGCTCCCCAGTGGTTTCTACCTCCATGTCTCATTCTGGAAGTTTGCCCAGCTTCTCAGTGGGGGGATGAATTGATAGTGAGATTGCTACAGGAAATGTCTCAGGGCTCAGACTCATGAACCCCAAAGGAATTCATGCCTCTCAGTCATGAGGCACCACTGGACCCTAATCAAGGAGGCAAGAGTCTAGATTAAACTATCTAGTACCAACCTCTACTAACGTTAAATTCTAAGAGGCTCAACAGCAAGAAAAGGAGAGAGAAGAAGAGGGGATGGAAGGGAGAGCGAAGAATGGCAAGAAGAGGTGAGAAAATGGAGCATAGAGGAGAAAAAACAAAGGGAAGGAAGGGATGAAAGGGGGATAACTAAATAAAAAATGGAATTGAGTGTATCTTTTTTTGTTCTTGGTTCAGGAACTCCAAAGCTGAGCAACACATGAAATCTGCTGTGTACTCCAAGGAGCAGAAACAGACTCTGGATTCACTGCATCTAGGGATCCCATTTGCATCCTGAGCAGTCAAGAGGGCCAAGTCCTTGCCATCTGAGTGCTTAGAGGAGGGTGGACAGGGTGCCCTCATTTCCCAACCTCTGACAGACTCCTCTCTGGACACTCCATTGATTCTGCTCAGGGTGCTTCCTGATCCTGATCCAAACCCAATCAGGTTTCGACCTGGAGAAAACGTTGAAGCCATGGATTTTCTTCAGAAACTTTCCAGCCAGCAGCTCTACCAGGAAGCCTCCAAGCCTATTAAATAGAAGTTATGTTAATACCCTTTGTACAGCCAGAAGCTGCCCCCAGCTTTGCTTTGCTGAAGTCTGTGGGTGTCTTTGATCTCCAAATGGCTTCCAGATCTTATGTGAGTGCTGTGAGTGGCAGCATTCAACCAGAAATACCTGTGGCCGCGTGGACAGAAATAGCTCTAGGGGCTCAGTAGCTGCTGCTCTCCCCAATTCTGACCACTGTTCACCCTCTGGCTCTAGGATACCCCAGTGCTGGTGGGCAGAGATGCCAGCTTGAGTCCCTGACCACCTCTGGATTCTGACACATCTGTGGACGTTGGACAGACTCCCAGGAAGGACCCACCATGGATCTATTTGTTTGAGGGTCTGAGAGGACCTCTGGGAAAGCAGACAGATGTGCTTTACCAGAAACAAAGTCCCAGTATCCCAAAGGCACTGGGGTTTATGAGTACAGCGTCATGTCTATCTATAATTTGGATGCTTTCCCTGCGAAGAGGGATTCTACAAGTAGTAAAACAAAACAAAACTGAAAGTTCTGTTTATACTAAAAATTGCTTTGGTAAGCCTCTGACAAACTATAAAACACAGGGGAGGGAGGCATTCCTCCCATAGTGAGAACACAGATGGGAAGGCTGTGTGCAAGATTCTAATATTAAGGCCCTAAATACTGGACCTAAATTTAAAGTCTAATATTATGTGCTGCCTTAACATCAGGCGAAATTGGGAGTAGTTGCTGCCTAAGCATTTGGGTCTAAAGGTCTATTTGGGATTTACTTACTTGGGTCTTTTCAAAGTTCATGGTAGTTCCAAGGTCTGAAGTGATACTATATATATCATTAACTGGGTATTTCATTTGATTGTTCATTTTTTTTTTAAAAAAAAAGAATCTGTCCTTAGAAAGAAAACTTCTCTCAGGTATATGACTGAACACAAAAATTAGTGAAAATCACTTTAAAAATTCTTAATAAGCCTCTAGATAATATTTATAATTACTAGAGTCAGGAAAAAGGTTCACTTCAGAAGAACTGGCCACAGGTCAATTGCCAGATGAAACTTACCCACCTATAAAGTTAAGACACAGTTCAGTAATGTATGGTATGTAAGTAATGGTATTTTTTAACCCAATTATTCTTTTTCTTTTTAAGATTTTATTTATTTGAGAGAGAAAGTGAGAGACAGAGAGAGCACAAGTGGCAAGAGGGGCGGAGGGAGAAGCAGGCTCCCCACTGAGCAGTGGGAAGCTGGACATGGGGCTCAATCCAGGGACTCAACCAACTGAGCCACCCAGGTGCCCGTAAACCCAATTATTTTTAAAATAATTTTTTAAAGTTTAGTAAGCTGAATCAAAAACAATCATAATTTTTAAAACAAAATTTACAAAAATGAAATGATAAAAAAATTTAATAAAACATTTTTGCTGGTGAAAGTACTACCCAACTATAAAAACATAGACACCTAAGTAGGAACATGAACAAGAAAAAATAAAAATGACTAACAAACATGGAAAAAAAAAATCAACCTCATTAGGAATCAAATGTAAAGTGAATTTATTTTTTTTTAAGATTTTATTTATTTATTTGAGAGAGAGAGGAGAGTGAGCACGCGAGAGTAAGGGGGAGAGAGAGAGTGCACACCAGAGGGAGGAGGGGCAGAGAGAGAGGGAGAAGCAGACTCCCCACTGAGCAGGGAGCCAGACACGGGACTCGATTCCAGGACCCTGAGATCATAACCTGAGCCGAAGGCAGACACTTAACCGACTGAGCCACTCAGGCGCCACTGTAAAGTGAATTTAAATGAAACACCATTTTCCTGCAAGTAAATTGGCCAAGTTTACAAAGTTACAAAGAGACTATGATGCTTAGAAATAAAAATTCAGAGATGAGCAAGTTCTAGATGATAAATAAAATTCTTAGGGTTTTGGCCATGGGCATTGGTGGCTGAACTGAGGCTCAAGGAACTTAAAATCTAGGGTAGCACTTGTCACACTTCTCCACCAAGAATCCTTAAAGATAAAGCATAAAAAATGCACAGCCTTGGGTGCTGGAGGTACAGTCATAAGCAACCCGTCTCTGTTTTGTCTTTAAAATCTCCATATAGTTACATTCTACTTCATACTCCACCTGTACTTATTTCATAATTTTTTTTAAAGGATTTTTACTTATTTATTGAGAGAGAGAGAGAATGATAGAGAGCATGACAGGGAGGAGGGTCAGAGGGAGAAGCAGGCTCCCTGCTGAGCAGGGAGCCCGATGCGGGACTCGATCCCGGGACTCCAGGATCATGACCTGAGCCGAAGGCAGTCGCTTAACCAACTGAGCCACCCAGGCGCCCC